AAATATATTTGAAAAATATCCTTCCCAAATATATTGACATATATTTGAAATACTACAATTTTGGCCATATTCAATATATTTCAATATATATATATATATATATACTGTATGTTGAAAAGTGTTTTTTTATATATTAAAAAATGTATAAAATATATTTTTAAAAATACATTTTCAAATATATGTTTTTGAAAATACATTTAATCTACATTTTTGGAATGCATTTACGAATGTATGTAAAAAATACATGTTAAAATTATTTTTTTATGTGTTCAAAAAAAATCTGAAGAATATATTTTAAAATATATATATTTTTAAATATATGCCTTTAGAAAATATATTTCAATTCTTTTTTTTTTTAGAACACATGTTAAAATATATTAGTGTAGGCCAATATATTGTAAATATATGTCACATATATAATTTTGTTTCTAAATATATTGGAAATATATTTCTCTTCCATGTGGGTTGTACAGTGTTTTTGTCAGCTGTGTGCATGGAACCTTATACTACCATCTATCAGATGTATGCTGATTTTCATCCTTTTGTAACTTTGTTACATACAGTTACCTTTAGGTGGCCCTGTGATACTACAAAGTCTTGTTTTAAACATCTTTTTTTGCTGGTGTTTTAACTTGCTGTGATAGTGTTACATATACTGCACTGTAAATGTTTCATAGTGAGTTTAGCTGGCTCCCTATATAATGTATTTGCATTGCTGTCGCTGGCAAGCTACATGGTCAGGGGCAGTATTGATCTTAGTGAAGGATGAGGTGAAGATCAAGTCAATTTCCACACTGTTTCTGCAGTATATTTGCAGTGAATGGGCTTTCTGTATGATTTCACTGCACTGCTGATTCGTAAGGAACTGATAAGGTCCATTCCCATTGATGACACTGCCTGTCTTGTCTCAATTCATTTGTTGGTTTGTAGTGAGCTGACAGGTGCTGTTACAGGAACAGTTGGTAGCCATGCCACATAGTGAGTTGGGATAAGGTGGCAGCACTGCCAGGAGTTATATACTGTTTCCTGCTGGCTTGACAACATATGGTGATTAAAAACAGCAGATACATAAAGAACATTAAATATATTAGCATGGAAATGATGCAAAGTTTGTAAATATGTTGTTGTAAAAATTGTTTTCCTTAATATGCAAATGAGCTTCCCTGGTAAGCATGACAACTAGAATAATAATTTTGCTGTATACAATATAAATCATGGATTCACTCTGGGCAGATAAAGGAAATGAGTTCTTGTAGCCCCAGATGTCCTAGTATATTATGTTTTATTATTGCTGCTGCAGATTGACATGTGTCCAACACAAGGTCTGTGGGCTGAATCAGGTCCACCAGGCCATGTCATGTGTCCTTCACACATCTCCTGCAGCTGCGGCACCCCCCTCATCTCTGTTCGCACCTTGTTTCAGCAGTCGGCAGCAGAGAGGAGGACAGAACTCCTCTGCCAGATCCTACACTTCATGTAGCTGCAGAGAGGCTCATCTCTGTTCCCCCATTTCAGTAGTCAACAGCAGAGAGAAGGACAGAATTCCTACAGATCCTGCGACTCTCTGTGCAGCCGCAGCACCCCCTCGTCTCCACCATCCCAATCTCAGCAGAACCGCCCCCCAAAGAAGGGACCTGGTGAGCAGCGGCGGACTGAGCCATGCAGGGCCACCATCTGAGGGGTGCCACCCTTACTCCTGTAGGTGGCCCAGACAGCAGGAGGATCGGTGTGGTGGTTATTTGCTAGGAGGAATCAGGGAAATAGAGAAGGAGGGAGGGAGAGAGAGGGGGGAGAGAGAGAGAGAGAGAGAGCGGGAGGGGGAGAGAGAGGGAGCTAAAGAGAGAGAGGGGGGGTGAGGGGGAGAGAGATGAAGAGAGGGAGGGAAGCAGGGAGAGAGAGGGGGGAGGGGGAAAGGGGGGGGGAGAGAGGGGGAGAAAGAGGGGGGTAGGGAGAGAGAGGGAGGAGAGAAAAAGAGAGGGAGGGAGAGAGAGAGAAGAGAGAGAGAGAGAGAAGAGAGGGGGAGGCAGGGAGAGAGAGAGGGGGGAGATAGGGAGAGAGGGAGGGAGGAAGAGGGAGTGGAGAGGGAGGGAGAGAGAGAGAAATATTTTATATACATATATACACTTATTTATCTCACTCACTCTCCCATTGGGGGGGCACAATTTTTGTGTTGCCTAGGGCAGCACAAAAACTAAATACACCACTGGACTCCAGCCCTCCTCTGGTCCTCCTCCAGACCCTGAATTTCTGCTTCCCAGCTCTGCCTCCAGCTTCTTCCCAGCAGCAGCACAAGGTAAGAGGCTGCACTGACATGGAGGGTATTGGATTCTGGACTTCTGATGGTGCGGGGTTCCTGACATCTGATGTGGGGGGGGGGGGGGGGGTGCTCTGAATATCTAGTCTTACAGGTACAAGCAGCCTTTGAAGGCAACTATAATGCTGATGCGGCCCATGATGTAATTGGGTTTGACACCACTGATAGGCCAGGGATCCAAGGGATAAAAGGTTTTATCTATTTTTGCATGAGTTCCTTGCAGTGACATACAGGGGACATGCTGCATGTTTAGATTTTTGTGTATTGACTCTAGGACTGTTAGAGCCACATGGACCCCATAATCAGTGTTTTCACAAATGGAGGTGATTGTAGCTGTATTAGTGCACTTGCCACAAAAAGAATTGGGTACTGTCTGTTATATTTTTTTATTTGCTCCAACATCCACATTTTCAGGGGGTGCAACCAGTACTAATACACAAAGTTTTAGCAGAATGTTAAGTAAAATATTAATAAATAAAAATAATCTGAGTGAAATAAAAACACACAAACTCACAGTACAGTAAGTAACTTTGAGTTAGTGAGATAAGAAAAGAAGAGGGCTGGGAGGGGTATTACAGGACCATACAGCTGTTCTTCCAGTAATGATGTGTACCTCATCGATGCAAAGCATGCAACAAAGGATCTTACGTAGGCAAAGCAGTACAGATATTACAGTTAAGAATGAATTTGCATAGATACATCATTAAGGAACATAAGGAAGATGATTTCTGTACACCTACAGGACATCATTTTTACAACCAGGCCATATTATGGAAGACCTGAATGTTTTAGTCCGTAAAGGGACTTCAAAACTACCTAGGAATGGAAAACCTTTGAACTAAGAATTATAGCTCTATTTGACACAAAAGATAATTTCCACAATGTAGACCTCAGTTTTCTAAATCCCTGTTCATTAGGTTTACAACCATCCTCACCTCTGTAACTGTCACTTCCTGTCACTACGGGAAACAACTGTTGTCCCCATTGCAAGATTTCACCTCTAAGGGCTCAAGTACGCTGCAGCTGATAAACTCACGTTTAGGAGCTGTTCAGCGTTTTTTCAGCAGCCCCTGAACTCACCCTAATGTTTTCCTATGTGTCCATGTACACCTGTTCTTTTACAGTCGTTTACAGGCAGTTGAGTGTACAGTCGTTTTTTTGAATGCAGAAAACTTGCGTTCAGCAGTCAATTTTAGCAACGCTTCAAACGAAAATGCTTGTAAATGCGGCTAAACGCGATAAATCAAGTTTATAAGCGTTTGCATTTGAAATTTTTTTTTAACTCTTCCAGTTCCCGATGCTGTCCAGAGCCTTTTTGCTTCATGAAAAATGCATGCAGAGTTTTCAAGGTACTAAGATGGAGAAAACACTGAACACAGGATGCTCCTACCAAGCTTGTCACACATTGTAATGACCAATTAACACCTCAGTTCAGACCTCTCCCACTCTTGGAAAAAGATATGTTATTGACCATTCACACCTCAAATTCCTCATGAAGATGCCCTGCCAGGTGACCTTAATGACTCACTCCACCAGACACCTATCCCACCCTTGGAAACAAAAGATATGTTAATGACTATTCACACCTCAAATTCCTCATGAAGACCCCCTGCTAGGTGGCCTTAATGAATCACTCCACCAGACACCTTTCCCATCCTTGGAAACTCCTGTAAATCTACTACTCTTAGGCTCACCATACAGTCTGAGTGTGCAATCTATGTACAATCAACCTTAGATCTACCAAATGTAATACGAGGACCTATCTGAAGTATCCAATCAATTTTTCTCTAAACAGGCAGGCTTGTGCATGACATACCTGTTGGTAGATCTAAAGGAGATTGTACAATCAGATTGTAACATGCATGGTGAGCTTTAGGTTGCAGCAGGTAGACCTATCAATTTCCATCACTTTGATTATGTTTTCTCTTCCTTGTTTTTGCATATCTGGTGGACTTTTTTATTTGAGCTTTTTGTTGACAAGTGAACCTGCCAAAGGCGGTTTAACTGTGGCGGTTCTCTCATTCTGAGAAGACGTCATATGACATCTTCCCATTCTAACTGCTCATTTGTGCCCCCCGGGGTGCGCAGTGTTTGGTGGCATGCTGTGTCCCTGGGACACAGGGGATCACCGATCAGAGTAAAGAGCCAGTGACACAGGCTCTGTCATGTAATCAGCTGTGTCCAATCACAGCTGATCGCATGCAAACAAGGAAATCCCGGTTATCAGCAGTCCTCTTATCACGCTGCCAGCGTGTGAGAAGAGCAGGTAAGCGACATTCCACAGAGGGGACATCTACACTGATCATCAGGGCACTGATGATCAGTGCCCTGATGATCAGTGTAGCCCCATTAGTGCCACCTGTCAGTGCCCATCAGTGCCACCTGTAAGTGCCCATCAATGCCACATATCAGTACCCATCAGTGCACATCAATGCCACATATCAGTGCCTACCAGTGCACATCAATGCCACATATCAGTGCCCATCAGAGCTGCTTTTCAGTGCCAACTATCAGTGCCAGTCAGTGTTGCCTACCAGTGCCGCCTATCAGTGCAGCCTATCAGTGTCCTTCAGTGCCGCCTATGAGCGCTGCCTAACAGTTCCAATCAGTGCTGCCTATCAGGGCTGTCTATCAGTGCCACCTATCAGTGCCATATATGAGTGCTGCCTTTCAGTGCCCATCAGTGATGCCTGTCAATGCCCATCAGTGCCACCTACCAGTGCCTTCTCATCAGTGCCTCCTATCAGTGCCAGTCAGTATCACCTATCAGGGCTGTCTATCAGTGCCCATTAGTGCTACCTATCAGTGCCATATATGAGTGCTACCTGTCAGTGCCCATCAGTGATGCCTGTTAATGCCCATCAGTGCCACCTACCAGTGCCTTCTCATCAGTGCCGCCTATCAGTGCAGTCTATCAATGCCCATCAGTGCAGCCTATCAGTCTCTATCACTGCAGCCTCATTAGTACACATCAGTGAAGAAGAAAATTACTTATTTACAAAATTTAATAACAGAAACTAAGTAAAAAACTTTTTTTTCAACATTTTCAGTCTATTTTAGTTTGTTTAGTAAAAAATGAAAAATACAGTGGTGATTAAATTCCACCAAAAGAAAGCTCTATCTGTCTAAAAAAAATTATAAAAATGTTGTTTGGATACAGTGTTGCATGACCACGCAATTGTCATTCAAAGTGTGACAGCGCTGAAAACTGGCCTGGGCAGGAAGGGGGTTAAAAGTGCCTGGTGGGCAAGTGGTTAACATCACAGTTTTACTGCAATGGCTACAACAGAATGTGTCAGCTCACAGTGCATTGGCACTGCAGCAAAAGGGTGACAATGCTGCAGCTAATTTGAGTAATATTGTGAACCAAGGAAAGGAAATTCTTGCGAATGCATTTTGTTAATAGAATAAAATAAATATTAGAAGCAAGGAATATAAAGGAAAGGATTACACTCAGGGCATTAAAAGAAACTGTGCAAATGCAAATACATGTTTATGTGTTTGGGGTTTGATACATTGCAAGCTATTGTGGCCTAGTGCCTCACTCCCTGTCAGTCCTCCTGCACAATTACTGTGTGTTTGCTCACATCTATGGGCCAATTCATGCCAGAATGCTGTGCAGGAAACTTGTGTTCTGTTTGCATTTCCTGCACTGGGTTCCACATGCACTGTACTTGCAATCTGCAGCTGGTGTCAGTGTTAACCTAAAAATGCTTCAAAGCAGGCCACGTGCACCGTATCACAGAGTACAACTGTACCCTGCGATCCAGTTGCTGTGCATTTTTGAAAGTCGTGCATGCACTGCTTTTGTTGCAGTCCGGCGTAATTTCCGCCTATTACAATGAATGGGATGAAATTGCACTGCACAGTGTGAATCGCACAGTTCGTTCCTGTGCGATTCATGGTGTCAACTGGCCCTAAGAGAAGAAGACCACTAGCAGAATAGAGAGAAAAGCACATGATGAAAAGTATAGTGTATTTTCAGAGATATAACCGCAGTGTTTAAAAAGACCCAGACAGGAATAGAAATGCATAAGAGTTTGATTTTCCTCCCTTTTACTGTCATAATGGGACAGTCCTATCTCTGGGGGATAGATGCAGGTCTTGTTATTCTTCTGTATTATTTTCTTGTCAGAACAGAAATGTCAGTTCATTATCTGGCTGTGAAAGGCTTCACCTATATTTCCTGCCTAAGATAAGGGCTGACACATTGCGTTTGACTTACTAAAGACAAATGGGGTTATTTATTATTATTTATTACAGGTACTTATATAGCGCCGTTAATTTATGCAGTGCTTTACATCTATATTGTGCATTCACATCAGTCCCTAACCCTCAAGGGGCGTACGATCTAAGGTCTCTGACTTACATTCATACATACACATACTAGGGCCAATTTAGACAGGATCCAATTAACCTACCAGCATGTCTTTGGAATGTGGGAGGAAACCAGAGTACCCGGAGGAAACCCACACAGCCACAGGGAGAATATGCAAACTCCAGGCAGGTAGTGCCATGGGTGGGATTTGAACCAATGACCCCAGTACTGCCAGGCAGAAGTGCTAACCATTTAGCCTTTGTGGTGCCCGGGTGGTTCACTTTTCAGGGGATTTTTCCCTTATTCTTAGTAAGGGAGGCGATGCTCTGCTGACTTATATCATCCAATCATTTGCAAGCAAAAATGCTGGTTTTTTTGTTTTGTTTTGTTTTCCTGTGATTGGGGAATCTTTACAAAGTGAGCATTTGCTACACTAAGCTCTGGGGCAAATTCCCTTGCAAAGTGAATAGACTATTTGCCTTTAGAAAATCAATCCCATTGTGTCCAGTTACTGGAAGAGAATAAAACTGTTAAATAACAAAGCCTTTAGGTTTCTTGTAATCCTAGAATCCTGGCATTGCCTTTATTATGTGACAGTTTTTGAGTGTATATTATCAGCACAGGAAGAAGATAGGATAGATATAGCATAGTTTTACAGCTCGACTCTTAGATTGACACTGACAGAAAGTTAATGCAAATACATGATAAAAAAAATACATAATTTCTGGGAGCTGTGTTTGCATTATCATAGAAATACAAAGTGGAGTGTTGAATTATTATTACAAATGTACACTGGTCACTGGATCCCTTTACTTTTTTGTTTTGTGACTTGCGCTTACATGCTTTTTCATAGCTTTATTATTTTATTCAATATTGAGATTTTTCAGATAACACACTAGAGGGAGCTCTGTATTTTGCTGAGATCATCATCCATTCTCCCTATTTAAAGTGTATCTATCATTGCTGTGATCCTTCTGGAATTACTAGTTGTCTTTGAATTTTATTTTACATGACTTATAAAAACTTTCTGAGCCAGTGACATGGAACAAGTACACATAGCAGAAAAGTAAGAGTAATGTAAGAATGTATTACCTGCAATAGTCATATAGAATTAAAGCCAAAGGTTCAGCACACGGCAACCAGGGAAGTGGCATTTTTGGAAGGAGTGGATAGCAATGAGGGTCTCCACTTTTCACGATGGTGACCTTTAATCAGCTCTCCCCTCCCACACTTGCTGGTAGGTTAAATGGATCTTGTCTAAATTGGCCCTAGTATGTGTATGTATGAATCTGAGGGACCTTGGATTTTACACCCCTTGAGGGTTAGGGACTTATGTGAATGTACAATATATATATAAAGCACTGCTTAAATTGACAGTGCTATATAAGTACCTGTAATAAATAAATAAATTAATTATAGTTATAACATATTATTGTAGACTATGCTGTTTTTAATCAAAGATCTATGAGTTTTTATTGTGAAAAGGGGTAGTAAATCACAACCACTTTGTGGGGCTAAAATGCAGGAAAGAAATCCTACATATTTCATAAGCTAATATGACTGCCCCCATGTAGGTGTGCAATTAAAAACTTTACACTGAACCAAGTGGGGTTATGTACTTCAACTGGAGAGTTGAAAATCTGGTTCAACGCTGCATAGAAACCAATCAGTTTTCAGGTTTTATTGTCAAAGCTTAACCGCCTGCCAACCAGTCACATACCTGATTCATCACTGGTCTTCAAGTGGTTGTACCGAGATGATACCTGCAGCCTGTACCATTATTTACAGTCAGTAGCTGGCTTTTTTGTAATAGCAATCAGAGTGGCTAGCTAGCTGCTTGATTGCTATTACAAGCAGCAGGAGAGGATGACCCCTCCTTCTTCTCTGCCTTCCAACGGGAGTCCCAATCAACTAGCCAGTGTTGCCACCAGCTAGTTATGGAGCAACTTTATTTGGTTCTGTTAAATAGTAAAACGGAAGCGATGGCCTGACATCACTTCTGGTTTACTCGGAAACAAACGGTGCCATTTTTAATAAATTAAAGCATTCAATCACAGCAACCTTGTGAAGTATCACCATGAATGTCAGATTATGGGCAGTAATTCTAGCACCAGACCTCCTCTGCAAATCTAAAGTGGTAACCTAAAAAGGCTTTTAAAGCGCCCCCCTATGAATAGTAAAATGTACGTCCTTTGTCTCAGTCGCACATGCATGCACAGTTTTAAAGTATGACATGTTTGTTATCTATTTACTCAGTGTAGCATCATCTTTTATAGAATCCAAAAAATTGGGTTATGTACTGTGGGGTTTTTTGCATTTATATTCAAAAAAGTGTATTTTTGTCCCAAAAAATGCATTTAAAAAACCGCTGTGCAAAGGGACTCTGCTTTAAAAAATATATAATGTTTGGGGGTTCTAAGTAATTTTTTAGCAAAAAAAACAAACTGATTGTTACATGTGAACAAAAAAATGCCAGAAAAAGCCTGGTCCTTAAGTGATAGGATAAGTTCACCTTTTTAAAAAAATAATAAATGCACATCTTTCTGCAGGTAAAATTGTGCATTTATATTTTTTTTTTACTTGGAGTCTAGAAAGCATTGGACTCGCGATCAGCAGATAGCAGGTGCCATGCAGGACTCCTGTAGACTTGTCAGTGTATCTGCGTGCTCATACCTCATACGGAAGAGACAATGAACAATCGCAGTGCTCACTAGCACCGTGGTAGTTCATTGAGAACTAAAGCCGCAAAGACTGTTGGGATTGGTAGTTTACATTCACACATTTTTTTTTTTAAAGGGGATGCAGAACTGAAGTTACACTCTGCAGAGCTCAGTGAAAAAAAGCTCTCGGAGCTAATTGGAGGGAACAGACACCCTCCACACAGCAAACAGGAACAGAGTTGAGGCTGACAATATACTGGAGATCCCTCCCTATCACCATGTTTATTTTGGTGTCAGGAATAATTGTCAGAAGTGATTAATGTAGATAGCAGAGGAATGAGGCAGCAGACACAAATGACACATAGTGCTCTGGATTGAGACAAGTACACACTACAGAGGGATATGCTTTGTTCAATTTCATGTCTGAGGTTTACAACCACTTTCAAATAATATCTAATGACCCCACCATTAAAGTTCATAATAGAAAGCACCTAATGGTGGACCATTAGGATCCACTATTAAGCACTTTCCAGTATGAGGTGACACCTGTCTCTCAATTGTTCTCCTGCATTGTCACTTCATCACAAGCCCCATCTGGTGGTGGCTGCAAAAAGCAGCACTGAAACACAATGTACAGGAACAGTCCAGCTATGTCGTTTTCAGAAAGCTTGTCCAAAGCAATAGGGTGTAGCTGATGCTGTAGCAGGAGCATATAGGCAAGAATCAGTTGGAAAGGGCAGGAGAAGATCAGCATCAATGAGATGCAAAAATAAAAAAAAAAAAGAAGGCAGAAACAGTATGTTCTAAAAAATACAATGACAACTGTTCATGATACAATGTGCTTTAGCAAGCTAAATGTCATCCACTTAGATTAGATCTACTTTAACATTTGCAATTAATATTTAACCAGCATATCAAGTATATGCACACTAGTTGTAATATAGCAGGTGCATATGTAGCTGCAGTATACTGTAAGAGATTTTTAGTCTTTAGTTGAAGTAAAACCTACCATTAATCTTGGCAATTCAAATTGAGCATATGATAAAATGTGCGTAATCAAAGGTCACCTTCAGTAAAACTCAAAATGATCAGTACATCTAGATATAAAGGCACCTGGACT